CTCGGCAAACAAACCCCTCCTTCCGAACGAAAAGGATGCGTGAGGGTCGCATAAAAAGTCAGGGGAACTCCTGACCGCCCTCTCGCTCTGTGCAGGAGGCTCGGGGGCTCTCCCTGCAACCTTGCCAAGACCCAGCGACCTAGGCTCGCACTCGAGGGGGCTCGGCAAACAAACCCCTCCTTCCGAACGAAAAGGATGCGCGAGGGTCGCATAAAAAGCCAGGGGAACTCCTGACCGCCCTCTCGCTCCGTGCGGAGGCTCGAGGGCTCTCCCTGCAACCTTGCCAAGACCTAGTGACCTAGGCTCGCACTCGAGGGGGCTCGGCAAACAAACCCCTCCTTCCGAACGAAAAGGATGCGCGAGGGTCGCATAAAAAGTCAGGGAAACTCCTGACCGCCCTCTCGCTCCGCATGGAGGCTCGGGGGCTCTCCCTGCACCCAAAACAAAAGAAGGCCACCCAAGCTCACACTCGGAGATTCAGAAAAACGCGATGAAAAGGGCGCCGAGCCCGTTACGGTCCAGGGGTTCGAAGGTTGGACCCCCGAGGGTTTCGACAGCCGCCCCAGGACAATAGAGTTAGGGACAGCTATGGACGAGTCCGTACATGGCCGAGGCCTAAGCAAGCGATCGCTTGGGATGCCCTAAGTTGTGTTCGAGACCAATGGGGAGTTCTCCGAATGGGATCCCACCGTAGGGAGGCGCCGAGCCCCCGGGGCCAATCGAACGGCCCTAGGACCCACTAGAGAAGCCCTCTGGTACTTTTAGAGTGCGTCTCTAGACCACTAGCCGACCCCTATTGAATGGGGCACGGGCCTCCACTCGGATTTACCCGATAGCAGCTCACCGGAAGTGTCACCGCTCGTGCCCACCAAGGGTAGCCTGGCATATTCCACCCCTCCTTCCGAGCGAAAAGGATGCGCGAGGGTTACATAAAAAGTCTGGGAACTCCTGACCGCTCTCTCGCTCCGTGCGGAGGCTCGGGGGCTCTCCCTGCAACCTTGCCAAGACCCAGCGACCTAGGCTCGCACTCGAGGGGGCTCGGCAAACAAACCCCTCCTTCCGAGCGAAAAAGATGCGTGAGGGCCATCAAAAAAAAGACAAGGAAACCACTGATCGCCCTCTCGCTCCGTGCGGAAGCTCGAGGTTTCTTCCTGCAACTAGGCCAAGTCCCAGCAACCCGAACTCGCATTCGTGGGCCCGGCAAACACGATAAAACTCCTTGCTCAATGGAGAAAAAAGCCCCTGGAAGAGTAAACCCACTCCTCCAGGGCCTCGGGGGCTACACCCGGCGGGTGCGCTCGCCGCACCCACCAGAACCACCAAGTACAAAACACAATCCCGACGAGAGCTGCTGCGAGCCAAGTCTCGTCAAAAACCTCAGGGAGAGTGCCCGCACTCCCCCCGAGGCTCGGGGGCTACTGTCGGATACCACAAGAAGGGGTACCCTAAACAAGAACCGAAAATATTGCTTAAACCTTACAAAAATCAAAGCCAAAGGACAACCACGAGGTCTCAGTAGATTCTCCGATTCGCCCGAGGCTTGCGTCAAGGCCTCATACGAAAGGCCAAAACCCTCCGCCCCACCGAGGCCCTCTCGCCGAGGCCCTCTCGCCGAGACCCCACCCCGCAAGGCCTCGAACAGGATGCCAATTCTCCGATTCGCTCGAGGCTGGGCTCGGCAACAACCTCATCACCTCCATCCCGACTGCTCCTCTGACAAAACATCACGTCCAGTTAATGCGCCCAACTACTCCCGCAACGTCAGCCACACGTTGGCACAGTACAGGCAGAACGATCGACGGGACAGGGGACCGGGCGCAGCAGGGGTTACCTGCCATTGTGCTCATCACTGTGCCCCCTGCTGATACCCGTAATGCCCTGTGCTACCTAACCCCTGCGCCAAGGACAAAGCGGCGTGGAGGGTCAAGTCCGTCTCCCTGTAGTCTCGGAAACAGCAGGAAAGACCAACTGCTCGTCCTCCGCCTCGACCGAGACCCCCCGGCAGGGCCTTGGACGTACTATTCCTTCTCCGCCTCGGCCGAGACCGGGCTCGTCCCGCATCCTCGTCGTCTCCGCCTCGGCCGGGGCCGGGCTCGTCCCGCATCCTCGTTGCCTCCGCCTCAACCGCCCCTCTGGCGAGCCGTCCCATCCATGTAAGTGCGCCTGGTCACACCTACTACGTCAGCCATGACTGGCAGGGTACAGCAACAGGGCCGATGGGACGGCGGTCAAATCTCCTTTTTACCATCCCCTACTGACGGTGCAGGGATTACCGTGCCCTGTGGACACCCGCTCCATACTTTTTCCACCTAAACCGGGTACGACGCTAACCACCGAGACCCCCGCATCATACACGGGTCACCTCCGAGGCCTCGGCAAAGCAGGCCTCGGCACGATCAGCTACAACACCCGCTAGGCCTCGGCACTCCACCAAGTCAAGAATCTACAAGGCACGACATGTCTCCTACCGTGGAGGCCATACTGACTAGACATCAACAGGACCCCCACGACCTCAACAACCTCAAGCCTGGCCAACACGACGCGCCAAGTCAAGTACCGATCGTCATTCCCAACACCATGCTGCTACAGGACTGAACTACAGTAGGCTCCACGTGTAGCTCACTCGTGTACTCCTGGCTCCCTCCTTGCGGTTATAAAAGAAAGCAGCCAGGGATAGACCGGCATGGGGGCGAAAAAACATACGAAAGAACCACGCTCTCACACACGCGCAAGCAACACTCTGTAACACACGCTCTCCCAAGCTGCCCGAGAGCAACGTCTCAAGCAGCCCGCACCGTTCCATGCCGAGACCTGGGACTAGCTCCCTCTCTCACCCAGCTTGTAACCCCCTACCACAAGCACTTCGGTGCAAGGAATACAAGATCGATCTCTCAGACTGGACGTAGGGCGCCAATTGCCTGAACAAGTATAAACCTTGTGTCTCTTTGCATCATCATCCGGGATTGGGGGCACGCAGTTCAAATTCACTGGATGGTTGAGGACCCCCGGTCCGAAACAACGACACATAGTATATAATTCATAGGCCGTAAAAGTGTAAGGATTTTTTGAATGGGTGGTCAAAGGATAATTATGTTTGATTTAGGACAAACCAAATGTGATACGTAAAAAAGAACAAAGGAAGTACTTTTGCCATTCATAACTAGCCATCATCAACAAACAGTCGGATATAGGACATGTTTGATCCATCCAACTAGAGTTTAACTAGCTAAATATTACCTAGCTAAAAGTTTTCGTAGCTAAATTTTTGATAGGTTGTTTGGATCCTCCAGCTAATAGACTTAGCTAAACTTTATGTAGGTTAAAGTCGCTAAACTCAACTAAACTTTAGCTGGTCTTTTATAGCCGGGCTATTTGGATTCCTAGTAGCTAAATTGAGCCAGCTAAAGTTTAGTTGGTGCAAACCAGTCCATAGACGCGCGGTTCTTGCCTGCTCGGCCATGCTCGGCGGCGGCGCTTGCCAGTGCTAACCGATACGACGCCTAGCCTCGTTCACTCATGCGTGCTCGAGCCACGGCGCTGCGTCCAGCCTAGCTCCTTTGCGCCTGCTCAGCATGGCCTCGCTCGCCTGCGTCTGCTCAAGAGTCAAGAGTCAAGAGTCAGGAGTCAAGACACGGCGCCACGGCGGCCCTCAGCGCGGTGTGGGAGCGACACGTGGGGATGCACAGGTAAGAAGGATGCCGAGGTAAACGCCGGCTCTACTGCTCACACCGGCCGATCGCTCTACAGCCAGGCGAAGAAATGAGCCCCCGCTCCATTCTCACTTCTCTTTTCTCGCCTGTCCAACTAGAATTTTGATGACATAAACAACCTTACAGACTGACTAGCAGGACTTAGCCCTTGTTTAGTTCGTGAAATTTGGATTTTGGAGTTATTGTAGCATCTTCGTTTTTATTTGGCAAATAGTGTTCAAACATGGACTAATTAGGCTCAAAACGTTCGTCTCGCAATTTCACACCAAACTGTGTAATTAGTTTTTCTTTTCGTCTACATTTAATGCTTCATGCACGGGCCACAAACATTTGATTGACAGGTACTGTAGCAACTTTTTGAAATTTGGGGTGGAACTAAACAAGGCGTTAGTATTATATTTGCTGCTGACTACAGGAGTTGTTCGGCTGGTATTTCTGCGGCTGATAAGTTTATTTGAACCGCTGAAGCTGATTTGTTATGAGAGAAAAACACCGTTTCATGCCAGGTTGATAAGTTCAATCATGTCGCTCTACAAATGATATGGGGTTAATCGACCGGTTCACCTCGTATCGTAGCTGGAAAGGTGCATTTAAGATATAGCCTCCCTGCCAAATAACGTCAAATTAAATTAAGGCCTGGCCTGGGTTTCGCAGAACGGCGCCCATGGTCGCCGTCGTAGGGGATCTCTCACCCCTGCCGGCCGCGCATGTTGCATGCACCATGCTGTGGCGTGGTGCACGTCACCGGTTCTTGCACGTCTGTAGCTAACGAACCCTTCGATGAGTTTATCCGGTTGGCCGGCCGGCACATGGATTTGGATTTGGCCGGCACGTCACCGGTTGGCCTCACTCGGGTCCACGCGTCGTCAGGTGATTGTTTGAGCAGAGGCAGGAGCGAAGATGACACCGACTAACCACACATTTTGGCCACTGATGCGTGGCGACTGGACCACGGCGGCGCATCCGCTGGCACCGTCTCGCAGCTCAATTTGGAGGCGAAACTTGCGTGCGAGTAACGAGCGGCGACCCTGGCAGCTCGACGAGCGACGTGACCATCCATACGCCCGCGGGCTGCAATGCCAAAGCGGCATCTCGTGTGGACGACGGCAATGCCGAGTTGTCCACCACACTTCGCTATCATGGAAATCGGGAAATATTTCACACTGAAAGCTACTCTGTTTTGTACGTACACTCGCAGTACACCTGTGTGTGATGCTCCGTTAACGCCTCCTTATGTACCAGCACGTAGCACCGGGCCGGGCCACCACCAGACACTCCAGTCGACTGCGCATGGAGCAAGCGTCGCACTACCTCTGCCTCTTCCTGGCTCTGCTCCTCCCACTCCTGCTCCTCAGGCTACTCAGGGGGCGCCGCCACGGCGACGGCAGCGGCGTCCGGCTGCCGCCGGGCCCATGGCGGCTGCCGGTGATCGGCAGCCTACACCACCTCGTGGGCAAGCCGTTAGTGCACCGCGCGTTCGCCGACCTCGCCCGGCGCCTCGACGCGCCGCTCATGTACCTCAGGCTCGGCGAGGTCCCCGTCTTGGTGGCCACGTCCCGGGACGCCGCGCGCGAGGTCCTGCGGACGAACGACGTCACGTTCGCCACGCGGCCGTGGAGCCCCACGATCAGGATCATGATGGAGGATGGGCTGGGCCTGGTGTTCGCGCCCTACGGCGACCTGTGGCGCCAGCTCCGGAAGATCTGCATCCTGGAGCTGCTCAGCGCCCGCCGCGTCCAGTCTTTCCGCCATGTCCGGGAGGACGAGGTGGCGCGCCTCGTCGCCGCGGTCGCCTCCACCCCGCCCGGCGAGCCCGTCAACGTCAGTCGCCGCATCGCCGTGCTCATCGCTGATTCGGCGGTGCGTGCCATGATCGGGGACAGGTTCAGCAGGCGGGACGAGTTTTTGGTGTCGCTCGAGGAGGGGCTCAAGCTCGTCTCCGGGTTTAACCTAGGTGACCTATTCCCGTCATCGCCGTTTGTGAACTTCCTCAGTGGAACGGCACGGCGAGCCCACGCGAATCACCGGAAGAACTTTGAGCTCATGGACTGCGCCATCAAGCAACACGAGGAAAGGAGAGCCCTAGCGGCGGCGAACGGCGCCGCTGTCCACGAGGAAGAAGAGGACCTAGTGGACGTGCTCTTGAGGATACAAAAGGAAGGCGGCCTCGACATGCCTCTCACAATGGGAATGATCAAAGCCGTTATCCTTGTAAGTGCATATATATAACAAGAGTTTATCATGTTTGTTTCCATTTTGTTTATCATGCATGTTCTTGAAATTTTGAATATATAGGACTTGTTCAGCGCTGGAAGTGAGACATCAGCAACAACACTGCAGTGGGCCATGGCGGAGCTTATGAGGAACCCGGATGTGATGAAGAAAGCGCAAGCCGAGCTACGTGACAACCTCAATGGTAAGCCGAAAGTGACCGAAGATGACTTGGTACAGATGAAATACTTGAAGCTCATCATCAAGGAAACATTGAGGTTGCATCCAGCGGCGCCATTGCTCCTCCCAAGGGAGGCTAGGGAGTCATGCAAGATTCTTGGGTATGATGTGCCAAAGGGCACCACTGTGTTGGTGAACGCGTGGGCAATTGGCAGGGATCCTAAGTATTGGGATGATGCTGAAGAGTTTAAACCAGAGCGATTTGAGTGTGGCACAATCGACTTCAAGGGCATGGACTTTGAGTACATACCATTTGGTGCTGGTAGAAGAATATGCCCTGGGATGGTGTTTGCGCAGTCAAATATAGAACTCGCACTGGCAGCCCTGCTTTACCACTTTGATTGGAAGCTCGAAGAGGGGATGAAGCCAAGTGAATTGGATATGATTGAGGATATAGGCATCACTGTTCGAAAGAAGAACGACTTGATTTTGCATCCCATCGTTCGTGTGCCCCACAAATAATCAACGCAACTATAGTTGCTTCAAGCATTATAGTATTTATTTGCCTATATGATTCGTATATGCTATCTGAACTCATATGTAAGTTATCTTATATCATCTACTGATCTGGTGATTGTAGGGAGAAAATTGTGTTGTTGACTCCAATTCGAAGCCATAGGGTGTCTTATTGAGAATAAGTTGTTTTAGGCAAGTGAAAAATAATATCACTTTTATTACAGGCAACAAAAAACACCCACGCAATTGATTGCTAGAAAATATTTATCTATCCTCCCTATTATTATAATAAAGAGGCAAAATTTATGCTAAAATTTTTGTTTGGTCTGCACGACCGAGTCTCGGCTGCTTCAACTCGCTCAATTCTCTCGCCCCAAATAGGATACGAGTCCAGAGTCCAAAATACAACACAGCTCCAAATCAGACTGTCTCAATAAGGCAACATCTCCTCAAATCAAACCAATAAATCCACACCAACGGCATTGTTGAGCCAGGTCGTCGACAAGGTGGAGGTAGGGGCGCAACAAGGTCGTGGACGGCGGGTTTTGGCGCGTCAGGTCGACGAAGGAAGCAAAGCGGCGGAGCTCGATCTGGTGCGGTCGCAGTCTGGGTGGCGCAGCCGGCGGTGGAGTACGACGGCGAGGAGGTTGATGTCCGGCGCAGACGCAGTTCGGGTGGCGCAGCCGACGGTGGAGCACGACAGCGAGGAGGTGGCGTCACGGGCAGTGTGCGCCGGCGTTCGGGGCATGCGAGGCTGAGGAAGATGGCGCGGCGTTGTGGGCACACCCGAAGTCATCGCGGCCGGTGCTCGGAGTCGTCGGCGTCCGCGGAAACGGCGGCATGGAGGTCGGCGGTCGGAGCATGGCTGTTCGGCGGTGTCCGCGCGGCGATGTCATGGGGTGCGAACGACGAGACGTCGGCGCGGTCGCGGATCCGGTCGCAGGGCGAGGTGGTGGGGTGGCGAGCTCGCGGCGGAGATGAGCTCCCGGCTTCACGGCGTCGGCGCGGTCCTCCATGGAGAGGAGCAGAGGAAGAGAGAGGGAAGAAACAATATTTTTGAACAGGGCAGCCTGGATAGCCCAAACACCTTGGTATCTAGTTATCTCTGTGTCACATTGTCATTGTTCATTTTGATGTCGATATTTTCGAACCAATATGGACTTGCATTCCATCAACGTAAAATATGCTCACATGAGGAGAATGAGCAACAGAAACATGGTAGATTGTATATGGGAATCCCTGGAGTTAGAGTGCGTTACAATATTGGTTTGTTCAGCATATTATTACATATGTCCTAGCACACAATTGCGTGGGTTATTTTTTGTGGTTTGTAATTTGAGTGTAATTATTTTTCATGTGCCCAAAACAATTTCCAATAAGAAACACTATGGCTTTGAATTGGAGTCCACAACACAGTTTTTTTCCTACTTATTAGTAGATGATATAAGATAACTTACATATGAGTTCAAATTGCATATATGAATCATATACACAAAAACTATAATGCTTGAAGCAACTATTGTGCTTATTGGTGGGGCACGCGAACCATGGGATGCAGAAGCAAGTCGTTCTTCTTTCCAACAGTGAGGCCTATGCCCTCAGTCATGTCCAGCTCACTTGGCTTCAGCCCCTCTTCGAGCTTCCAGTCAAAGTGGTGGAGCAGGCCTGCTAGTGCGAGTTCTATATTTGACTCTGCAAACACCATTCCCGGGCATATTCTTCTACCAGCACCAAATGGTATGTACTCAAAGTCCATGCCCTTGAAGTCGATTGTGCTACACTCAAATCTCTCTGGCTTAAAGTCTTCAGCATCATTCCAATACTTGGGATCCCTACCAATCGCCCACGCGTTCACCAACACAGTGGTGCCCTTTGGCACATCGTACCCAAGGATCTTGCATGACTCCCTAGCCTCCCTTGGGAGAAGCAATGGTGCCGCCGGATACAGCCTCAATGTTTCCTTGATGATGAGCTTCAAGTATTTCATCTGTACCAAGTCATCTTCGGTCACTTTCGGCTTACCATTGAGGTTGTCACGTAGCTCGGCTTGCGCTTTCTTCATCACATCCGGGCACCTCATAAGCTCCGACATGGCCCATTCCAGTGTAGTTGCTGATGTCTCACTTCCAGGGATGAACAAGTCGTATATATGCAGAATTTCAAGAAACATGCATGATAAACACAATGCAAACATATACAAACAAATATGGTAACTAAATACTTGTTCTATGTATGCGCTTACAAGGATAACGGCTTTGATCATTCCCATTGTGAGAGGCATGTCGAGGCCACCTTCCTTTTGTATCCTCAAGAGCACGTCCACCAGGTCCTCTTCCTCCTGCGCACCGCCGTTCGCCACCGCTGCGGCTGTACTTTCCTCGTGCTCCTTGGTGGCGCACCCCATGAGCTCAGAGTTCTTCCGGTGGTTTGCGTGCGCCCGCCCTGCCGTGCCGCTGAGGAAGCTCACAAACGGCGACGATGGGAATAGATCGCCTAGGTTGAACCCGGGGAGGAGCTTGAGCCCCTCCTCGAGCGACACCAAGAACTCGTCCCGCCTGCTGAACCTGTCCCCGATCATGGCACGCACCGCCGAATCTGCGACCATCACGGCGATCCGGTGGCTGACGTTGATGGGCTCGCCCGGTGGGGTGGCGGTGACCGCGGCGACGATGCGCGCCACCTCGTCCTCCCGAACGTGGCGGAACGACTGGACGCGGCGGGCGCTGAGGAGCTCCATGATGCTCATCTTCCGGAGCCGGCGCCACAGATCGCCGTAGGGCGCGAACGCCAGGCCCACCCCGTCCTCCATCATGATCTTTGCGGTGGGGCTCGACGGCCGCGTGGCGAACGCGACGTCGTTCGTCCGCAGGACCTCGCGCGCGGCGTCCCTGGACGTGGCCACCACGACGGGGACCTCGCCGAGCCTGAGGTGCATAAGAGGTGCGTCGAGGCGCCGCGCAAGGTCGGCGAACGCGCGGTGCACGTGCGGTTTGCCCCCGATGTGGTGTAGACTGCCGATCACCGGCAGCTTCCATGGGCCCGGCGGCAGCCGGACGCCGCCGGCGTTGCCGTCGCGCTTCCTGAGTAGCCTGAGGAGCAGGAGGGGTAGGAGCAGAGCCAGGAAGAGGCAGAGGTAGTGCGACGCTTGCTCCATACTAGCTGGTTCCTAGCTTCTGCAAGCTTATTAGCGTTTGCTGTGGCCAGTCGACTGGTGCGTCTGGTGGCCAGATGCTATGTGTGCGTACATAAAGAGGGGTGAACGGAGGCATCACAAGCTAAGTCAGGTGGGCAACTCGGCATTGCCGTCGTCCACACGAGATGCCGGGCGCATGGTCACGTCGCTGCTCGTCGAGCTGCCAGGGTCGCCGCTCGTTACTCGCACGCAAGTTTCGCTTCCAAATTAAGCTGCAAGACGGTGCCACCGGATGCGACGTGCAGTCGCCACGCAGTGGCCAAATGCATGGCTAGTCGGTGTCATCTACGTACTCATCTTCGCTGCTGACAACTCATAGCTGAAAGTACCGTTAGCTGATAAGCTATGGCTGAAAGTATTGTTAAGTTATGGCTAAAAGTACTGTTGAATAATTTGATATGAGAGAAAAATATTATTTGTTGGCTGAAAAAATATGATTTATAAGCCAAACAAGTCCAAACAAAAACAGGGTCTATAACCCAAATAATCAGCTGACCTGACGACGCGTACGTGCACCGGACTGCGTACGTGCTACACGTATCCAAATTCAAGTGCCGGCCAACCGGATTAAAAATCGGGTCTGGGTAAATCTGTTGATGTAAATCGTCCATCGGTGACAAAGCCTTAGGCTGTGATGTGACAGGGTTGCTCTTCAGATTGCATATTCAGGCATTCAATGAACACAATAAATGCTGACAGCCTGGGAACGAGCCGTAGCTCGGTCGGCACTGGCTTTCAGTGGTGGAGCGGCCGGTCGTGAGTTCTCGAGCCCTGCTCGACTCGCGCTTTCCCACCGACGTCTTTCCCCAATATTTTCAGGACAACCTCACACCTGATGCGCCTCAATGGTCCCGTCACGTGCGAAGTGGTGGTGGTGTGAATTATTACGTGAGTTCAAATACTACAATAGTTGAGGAATAAAAAAAAAGAAATGCTGACAGCCTTATTCCAAATTTTGGAGGCATTCAACCAACACCATGAAAACTGATGAATTCCGAAGAATGTTCTACAAGCATATTCCACCTCCAGTGTGTGACTGTGGGTGCAGATACCTCATTATAAATAAAAATAAATAATTCCTGCTTGATGTGCGAAAAAAATATATTTTAAACATTGTTTTGTTATTTGTGTCTTAAGCTTACATCCATTATATCAGTTCTTACACTTCAAACACATACAGCCAATATAACTTCATCCGAGCTTCCTCCGCAAGAGCCATTATTACAAGCAGGCTGCAAGGACATAGTGCACTTCCAACCCTAACATGCTATTTCATCTCAACTTCCAGCTTCCAGTGCACAACATATCTTAACCTTAATGTCGATGCTTTATCAGTGCCTATCTCCGATGATGGTGTATAATGGTACTTGCAACATTTGAGTCGAACTCAAGGTCCTGGGTCTACTTATAGCAGTAGAAATATAAGCGAATCCCTCTCCCTCACTTCAAATATCTTAATAGGTACATAATTATTCTGATGAACCATGATAAAGCATTAGAAGACATCAGGCGGGAAACGTCCAGGCATAGAATTGTTCTGCTGAGCCTGCTTCAAATGCACACTAAGTGCATAATTATTTATCTGCATCGAATCATGTATCACAGTTTACCTTTTTGCAGAATAAATATCAAAGGATCGAAATCACAAAGGTGATGAACGGGAGTACCTCAAGAGTTTTCAGCTGCTCCTGATACTGCAATACCAACTGTTTCAGGCTGTCGACTTCCTGAGTCCTCGCATCAAAGTCTTTTTGGCGTTCATGCTGTATCGCAACGCCCCGCTTCAGAACAGCATTCTCTCGGAGAATTATTGCCAGTTGATCCTTTAGCATCACATTTTCCTATGGAGGGTAAAAAAAGCGTAACTACTTAAGCTTCCCAAGGAGAACAAATCCTAAGATCAAAATGGCATGTGATGCATGCTGTAGTACCCTATGCAAATTCTGCACTGCTTCAGCTCCAACTCGATCCATGATGGATTTTTCAAACACCTCCAAAGCCCTGGATGCACGAGCTCGTGCATCATCTATGTCGGAGGAGCTCATCATCTCTTTGACAAACAGCTCAACCCATTCAGAGCTATGATGATTTGTCTGAGAGTTATCAGTTGCCGGTGGGTTTTCTGTAGCTACGTCCAAATGGCCATTGCTGGTGGTACCTGTCCAAGATGGAGAATCATAAAGTCGGTATTTCAAATTTGATTCACAAAATAGAGAATTCATGAATATATACAGTATAAGTTGGTCGCTAAATGATACATATACTACTAATAAATGCTTAAGTACTGCCCAAGGAAAAAAGGGCGAAACTGACACATACGTCAATTGAGAACACGGATGACAGAGCTACATAGCTTAGCTTTAGTTACATATGCAGTTTACAAGAATTCACTGCTGCATCAAGTACACGTTTGCCATAACAATGGGAAATCAGGACTGACAACAAACACTCATAATCTGTAATATTGGTAAAACAATTAAATATGCCTCCTTGATGGCATTGCTCAACAGTTTATACACCATCAGGCAAATGTTGACATTTGTAGCAACAGTAACTTAACAAAATTCTTACTGATGATAAATGTGTAATCACAACTAATATATGCTACATTTTATTTGATATGCAACTATTCCCAGATGAAATCTAATGTACATACCTTCAGCCGATAACTTAAGAGCTGATGATATGCCCTTCTCAGATTCGCAAAAAACAGTGGCAGATAGCATAGGCCCAGCTGACTCCAGGCGCAGCTCGTTTAATCTCTTTATTGCGCAGTCCAAATCATCTCCAGAGGCCTCAAGAGCTTTTTCAAGCAACTGAAATAATTTTGAAAATGAGAATCATACCAATGAAAATCAAGAACATCAGGTTATGATAGATAAATCCAGCTCTATTCGCTACCAAGACGAGCTAAATATGCAACAAGAAGAATTTATGATTAGCAGCAAGACATCTCAAACAATATTGATCTAGATACATAGTTACATTGAACTTGTGTAACTGAAAGCAGAATTTTAATTTTTAAAATAGATAGTGCAGTGAGACTTTTTGAGGTTACCAGGAACATTCAAGGGGATATCCCTTGGTGAATGTTGTTCGCCGATGATGTAGTGTTAGTGGACGAAAGCCAAGTGGGAGTAAATAGAAAACTAGAGTTGTGGCGGCAGACCCTTGAGTCTAAAGGTTTTAGATTAAGCGGAACTAAAACCGAATACAAGAGATGTGACTTTGGCGGAGCTGCACAGGAGGAGGGAGATGTGAGTTTGGAAGGTCAAGTAATGCCTAAGAAGGATACCTTTTGTTATCTAGGAACGATGCTACAGAGGGATGGAGATATTGATGCGGACGTTAGCCATAGAATCAAAGAGCGTGGATCAAGTGGCAACAAGCTTCTGGCATTCTTTGTAACGAGAGGGTACCACAAAAGCTAAAAGGCAAGTTTTATAGAACGGCGATTAGACCGGCTATGTTGTATGGAGCACAATGTTGGCCTACAAAGATTCGACATGTTCAACAACTGAGTGTTGCAGAAATGCGTATGTTGCGATGGATTTGTGGTCACACAAGAATGGACTGAGTTAGGAACGATGATATACGTGACCGCCTAGGGGTAGCACCAATTGAAGAAAAGCTTGTCCAATATCGGTTGAGGTGGTTTGGCCATGTCCAAAGGAGACCTTCAGAGACACCAGTGCATTGTGGAGTCCTAAGCCAAGCTAATAATGTGAGGAGAGGTAGAGGTAGACCGAAATTGACATGGGAGGAGGCAATAAAAAGAGATCTGAAAGCTTGGGATATACCTAGAGATCTATATTTGAATAGGAGTACTTAGAAAACAGCTATTGAAGTGTCTGAACCGTGACTAGGGGCTCTTGGTGGGTTTCAACTCTAGCCTACCCCAACTTACTTGGGACTGACAGACTTTGTTGTTGTTGTTGTATAGTGCAGTGAGACTTTAATTGCACAACGAATGACATCGTAGCACACTGCTTAGTGCAAGAAGCAAATGTGACACCAGAATATGAAAAAGGTCTTCCTGAAACCTGTGAACCCATCAGAGAGCTTCAAACAAACAGAGTAACCAAAAAGGCATCAGCTAATCTAATACCTATTGAGCACTGAACACTTCCAAAATAGGTGACTTATGCAACATGCTGAAATGCTCAGAAGTCAGAGCAAGCTTCTTAGTGGGTATTCCAAATAAGGCATAGAAACCAGATGAAGATTGATATAATCCTGCCTTATAGGTGTATATAAGCAAACAGCATGTGCTTGAAATGAAAATTTCCAGCTTGGCTATAACAGAGGCTGAACAAGTTGCATGCACTACAACCTTCACATGCCAGTACTCTTACAGTTGCTGCTTGATAAATGCCCAAATTCATCCTTCATTTAAGTGAAAAAGATGAGTACAACAGGTTCATTATGATGCGTCACAGCAGCCCAAACTCATATGTTAAAACACTTGTGCATCAATCAAACATTAAAAAACATAACTTTTGAGCGAAAGGGGTCCCTGTTTCAGCAGAAAAACACCATAATTCATTAACTTGTATAATAATCCTAAATGGCAAACGTCAACTGAGAAACCACAAATCTACACGAAAGGAAGGTTCTTCACATCCAAATATACTACAATCGCACGTCAAATAGTACTACTTAGGTTCACCAAACGAATTAGCAGGAGCAGCTTCATCTGATCTACACTTCTGAGCAACTGAATCTGATCCCTGTAAAAACTAAATTTTCGGCACGATGATGAACCGAGCCAGCTTTCAGTGCGCAAATGCGACGTCCCACCAGAATTTTTTGCAAACAAAAAACAAATGAGTAAAGCGCAGAGACGAACCTGGGGATCCATGTCGGGGAAGAGCGGGAGGAGGTGGTGGTGGAGCAGAACCTCCCTCCGGCGGGACGGGGAGCAGCGGGCCCGCTTGGCGGGGTGATGGTGGTGGGAAGGGGACGGAGGGGAGGAAGGGGAAGCTACAAGATCGTCGCTGAAGATGGAGGACCTCTTGCCGCACACTACCGCAGACATGGTGGCCCCCGCCCCGACCGCCGCCTCGCGGCGCCGCCGCCGATCCGTTCGTGGCTGCCAATCGCGCTACTCGCCCCCTCCGGCGCCGGACACCATCTGGCCCGCCGGGGTCCAGCCGATGCGCCCCTCCTCACGCGGTTATCCACGGCGGGATGGAGCTTGGGTTTGGGCTCGGGGGAGGCGCGCCGGAGGTGCCCGTGGCCGGAGACTGGCGGGCGGCGGCGGCGCTGGTCCGGAGATGGGGAAGGGGAATAGCTTTGGTTGGTTGGTTTTGTCTCGCGGACGGGTTGACGGCGGTGCGGGCTTTATGAACGTTGCGATGTTGCGGATTTGTTTGGATGGCACCCTAGCCAAATTTGCCTGGGGTGCCTGGAGGTTGCCTGGACTCTGTTTGAATGGAACCCTGGCTATCCTTGCCTGGTGGGAGCTGCCTGGACCGGTTGCCGAGCATCAGGCGTAAGAAATCGAGCGCCTGGGCTTCCCCCGAGTTGCCTGGCTGGCTGGCTGTAATCCAAAGCACAGAACCGATCTTATCCTATCCCCTCTTCATTTTTCCCTTTCCTCTCTCCCGTAGCCACAACTCCCTTCCCTGTTTTCTCCACAAAGATGGGAGACAATTGTCTGTGTGTCATTAAAAAAAATCGTAATACTCAGTATGTCTTTGAAAAAATTCAACGGTCTTCAGCGCTATTACTCTAACTTTTTCGTGTCCTCCATACCACTTCCGTCAGTTTGGACTCTAACGCCATCAAACTGCAGACGTGAAAAGACGAAAATACCCTTAAGTGAAAATATGTTATTAATTTTTTGAGCATCTTAACGACTTCAAATGAAAAAACTCAAAACTAGAAAGTTGTAGATCTCGTCGAGATCTATAATTTTCATATAAAAATTATTTTTATTTAATTCCGTAAAAAAATATGATTTTTCTAAGATATATTAATCATATCAAATCATTTTTTTAACCTATTAAATGAAAATAATTTTTATATGAAAATTATAAATCTCGACGAGATCTACAACTTTCTGATCTACAACTTTCTAGTTTTGAGTTTTTTCATTTGAAGTCGTTAAGATGCTCAAAAAAATTAATAACATATTTAGACTTAAGGGTATTTTCGTCTTTTCTCACCTGTAGTTTGATGGTGTTATAGTCCAAACTGACGGAAGTGCCATGGAGGACACAAAAAAGTTGGAGTGGTGACGCTGAAGACCGCTGAACTTTTTCAGAGACACACAGGGCATTACAATCTTTTTTAATGGCACACGAGAATTCCCTCCAAAGACGGAGGATGTTCCAGGGTTATCCTCTTGGTGCAGCAAAGATCTGGTGGCCTCCTCTCTTATTTCGTATTTTGCTTCTTCCTTGACTTCCAGATTTGTTCTCAGATCCCGTGCAAGAAAGGTGCGAGCAAAATCCATTTCTATTTTCTCAACTTCCTGCTGCTATTTCAATCTTCTATATACGTATGCTAGATTAGTCTTGGTTGCAGTTTACACAACGTGGTCCATACAGATCTATTTTTTTCTTTGCAATTATTAGTTTCCTTGGTGATAGTTAATAAATAGATGTAACTTCCTAATCACTATTTTCTTGCTACACAGACATATCGACCTTTTTCCTTGCAGCATGTGAAATTAGGCTTACTTTTAGCATGTGCGTACTGTGATCCTATCAATGGAAGTAGCTTCCATTATTATATTTTTACAATTTTCCTTTTTGGAAGAATTAGTAGGTAACACGCTTGCCATCTAATAAATTTATTAAAGTAGTAAGCTATCTTTTGCCACCTTCTTGGAGAAATTGTGTGATTGGCCACAATTAGCTATGTTTCCTTGCAATATTTTAATTCCCATTGTCAATATAGTTTACTGAACCAGTAGCTTGTAAGACTTATTACTATTTAGCAATATGCCAACATATATGTACTTTTGCTTGCTGTTTTCCTGTATTGTTGATTGTTGTTTTCGTCACTGCAATATATATGTCAGAACTGTAATGTTGCTTGCTGTTTTCTTCACTTGCATTTTTTTCTGTAGTTCACTCAATGGATACAGGAGAAAGCAGCATGAATGTTAAGGGCAAGGGAGGTGAAAAAGCTGCAGGATCAAATCCAAGGGCAAAAGCTACAAATTGGCCTACAGTTATATCTGAATTTCTCCTTGATTGGTACATTGAGAAGAAGCTGGCAATGCCTCCAAAAAGTGTTTTCAAGAAGATGCATCACACAGCTTGTACATCTGCCGTAAACTCCAAATATAGCACTACCTATACTGTGGATCAAGTTCAGCGTCATTGGAGGCGGCATAAGGATACTAGTTGGGGACTTGTGGCTAAACATATGAATGAGAGTGGCAGTGGCTGACACAAAAATGGTGACTCTCTCCAAGTCTACTTTGAGTGAACTCTCAATAATTATCTCTTGCCTAAATATTCATCTTACATGTATTATCTTGAATGATTCTTATTTTTTCAATGCCGCCAAATGACCGTGGGATTCTCTCAAAATCAATTCAGTTCTTTGACAAGTTGCAAGAATTATTAGGTGCTCCCAAAGTTGATAGTCAGTAGTTGACGCTTATGGAGAAGTTTCAGACTCTTGGGACAACATATTTGTTATTCTTTTGTGTATCAGCGAATTATTATGTAACCTTAAGTTGTAATATTTGTTAGCCTATAGCTTGAAAACTCTTGTGTGAGAGATTATGAATAGAGCTCATATGAGTTCATTACTTTTTCTGGAACATGAGTTCATCGTTTATTTGTTTCATAATGTGTTGTTCTCAACTGAAAATATAATGACTTATTTTATATCAGATATTTGGTTTATTTATTCTCATGATGTGAAATCCTCCATATATCAACAATTACTTTATCAATGAAATGCTTCATATGAAAGTAATCTTTGGCACTCGTACACAATGATGAGTGTAACCCAGGCAAGCTGAACAACCAAAAGATGCCTGGCTTCTCTACCAGCCCAGGCTCACTTCCAGGGCATCAACCAAACAACACAGCATGTTTTAGCTTTGCCTGGCCAGACATTCTTGCAAATAAATACAAGCAACTCCGCATTCTTGCAAATAAATACAGGCAACCCCCAGGCAGGTGAATAGCCTAGGCAACTAGCCCAGGGTTCTATCCAAACAAGCCCACATGGTGCGTTTTTCACATGTGTCAGTTGCTTCTTTTTGGGGTTTTTTTTTGCTGTTAGAATGGAATGTCTACGCAGGGGCACTAATAAAAGGTAATGATAATTTGGTCCAAATATTCTACGATGTGCCTTAGAGTTTATAGCATTTTATTTAATCGACGGTTTGAGATGTTGCCAAGTGTGTCTTGTAGTATCATTCTTCGCAAACTCTGTTACATGACCCGGCGTGCTACGCCGTCAGCGTGCGACACCCCTTCGCGATGCCCCCCCCCCTCTTCTCCATCTTCGACGCGAGCTTAGAAAGGGGCTCGGGGGAGCCATGCAAGGCCGGCGGTGGGGACGGGAGAGATAGTGGCGAAAAGCGGAGGCAGCGCCAGAGAGAGCGGAGGAGGAGGCGACGGGGCCGGGGGACCATGGCCATGGCGGCAGCAGGGGGGGGGAGGAGGAGGTTGCCGCGGGCGTAGTAGGGTTGATGAGGCCCGCGGCCTCGGAGCTCCGACAAGACCCTACCGCGCCGCAACGAGGAGGTGGGGGGAGGCCGCGTGTTTCCTAAACGCAGGATAGGTCGCGCAATATCGTCGTCCATCCTTTTTTTTGGAGCAATTGTGTACCTTGGATTGACATGATGGTAGAAAAGAAAATGTCTTTATTCTCTCATATTCACTGTTATTTACTTGTGAGACGTCTGATTCCCGACAACATGATTTCATATGGCTACTACTAGGTTTACATACACTCTCCTGGTTTTTAAAAATATAGTTTATTTTATCTTTGTATTAAATGTTTCATATCAACGTATATAATGTCAAATTAGTCACTAAATTCTCCACAAAATACATCTTGTATTTATTTGAACCCGTAGATTTTTTTTCCTAAAAGATGATCATGGACATAATAGTATTTAGAACTGAAGGAGTAAATACTTGTGGCATATTCTCTTTGTTTCAAATTGAAGATTGTTCTTGACTTTTGTAAATATATAGCTTTTACTATGTATGTACTTATGTAGACATAATGTATATCTAGATGCATACAAAAAAAAGTTATGTAACTAAAAAAAGGCATAACAACTCGTGATTTGAAACGGAGTAAGTAATAGCCTTTCGACATCATAGACCTGCATCGTGGACACAATAGTGTATTAAACTTAGCTTAACCTGACCATGGCGACCACCACCTTGGTAATAAAACCAAACCTAACAGGCTAACACAAGTGTGGTAGCCATTCAAACAAAAACCCTTGACAACATCGTTGGATTCCGTCCCTCAGCTGCTGGGCAAGGGCAAGTACAAGTTGGTGCCTTGCTCGTTGGATCTTCCTAGCTAGAGGCATCATCGTACGTAGCTCACGCTTCCCAACCTTTGGTTTCTCGTTTGGTGGAAACTTGGACGAGACCTCGGTGCGCTGTGGTGAATTGGTATCTTGCCCACGTCGACATCCGTCGCAATGGATGGGATCCTACGTCCGCCGTCCGCGTACTATTCTCTTTGGTCTTTGCCTCCTCGTCGATGCCGCGGCGTTATCCGGGTTTTTTTTCTTTTTATTTACATACATCTGGTATTATCCGTTGATGATGGACCCGGGCCGGTGGCTTTCCAGTTTCCACCGACCAACCACGGCCTTTTTGCTTTTTCTAGCTTGCATGCTCCGCTCACGTGTCCGGGCCCCGGGGGCCGGGGCACACGGCACGGATTCGTGCTCTTCTCGCGGATCGTTTGCTCCACGGCATCGGCGGCGGCATGCCAGCATATGTCCGTGCGATTCCGTGCAGCGTGAGGTCGCTTCTCGCCGCTGATCACGCGGTCGCACAGCACAAAGGAAGGAATGAATGCACGGCCGGATAGGTACGCCGACGGCAAGTGGGTTGCCCTGCTACCGGCTCTATCGGCACTTGCACGTCTTAACGAGTTCACGGCGGGGGTCAAAGGGATCTTAGCTCTCTGCAGTCTCCGGACTCCATGTGTGACCAAGGTAGCTGATGGCTACATGCTGTGCTGTTCTTGCTACGAAATCATAATCGCGAGTCAACAGGGAAAACAGCTGATGGCCTGATGCCCAAACCACCCACATGATACATGTTCAAAACGCAGAACGAAGTCATACATTTTGCAGGCTCAGCAACAGCATACCGGTACCATGGAACACTGTCGTTCCAAACCATTTTTTGTTTTCCTTTCTTGCATTCGTCTTTTCCATTATCAATATGTGAACCTGTTTCCTGTTTGGTTGTAGCGTACTCACATCAAAATTTTTGGAACATTACAAACAAAGGAGGGCAGTTATTCACAGCTCAAGAATAGGCCACATCTACAGCCTACAAGCAAAATCGGCATTTCCATCGAGCATGGAAACAGTTGCACTTGGTTCGTCTCCTTTCCTTTCGTTTTCCCGTTGGCTTGGGTGTGGAAACAGAAGCTCCGGAGGTGTTATTGTGCGAGTATACCCATCTGCTGCAGGGCAGACTTCAAGTCATCCGTGGTGTAACCTTCGACACCGATGATGTTGGAGCTGTCGAGTGCGACGACATCCTGTAAGGGGTATCTCCTCACCGTGTGGATCCTGTTTGCTGGGGTGTTGAACTCGCCCTTCAGGATTATGGTCCTATGGAGACCCCCCAGCAGTTCCTCATAATCCGAATCGCCACTTTCACCCACAAGGACTGCAACGTTTGGCACCTCTATCCCCCAACGTATACACAAGTACCTATTGAACAAAAAAATATGGTCCATGGGGTTACAAATATAAGCTTAAAACGAGGTTGTTGATTTAATGTTGTGCCATGCTATATCAAATACAATTCTGGTGGGGATGCTCTCCCTCCACGTTGACCATTCAAAAAAAAAAAACTTCTATCTATCAACTTAAAGACAGGTGCATGCGAAAAGATGATTGGAGTATGACAAATGGGAAACCAACCCGCTACTCAACTAAGTTGGGTACTTGGATTCAAGTCATAATGATAAGATCCACAGTTTCATTTTGAGATAGAATACTAACACTTCTTTCAACTTTAATCAAATGAATACCTAGTCAAAAAACAATTATGCAAAAAAAAGGGGCAATATCTTTCATGAAAAACAGAATAATGTCATGCCAAAATGAACTATAGTCAGGTCACTTGAACACAATATAGTCAGTTAGTCACTGATTGTTAGGCTTCACCCTTTTCTATATTTGTAGGAAAAAATCAACATTTAGGACCTCTTTAACTAAGCAAGGATTTGAGACCAAGTTTATAGCCTTTATCGTACATTTGAACTGTATCCTGAATTTCTAGTGATCCCGGTCTTAGGCAAACCCCTAATGTTTTGCTTGTACAAATACACATTCATGGTATTTCTAATCAAATTAGTAGGCAGCCTAAACTGCTGGAACTATACCTTAAAGAAATATAAACTGGTAACTGAAGGCAGGACGAAGAAGAATAAACATTGACAAACCTTAGAGCCTGAGATCGTGATGCGTGGATAGGGACTACAGATAATCTGGTAGCGCTGTGGTTATACAATGCATTGCAACGGAGAGATTGGATTCTCATCAACTTCCTCAACTCCTTTAAAGGAGGAAGCTACAGTAAGAAAAATAATCATGTCAAACATTATGAAAGAGAATATATGATAATGTTTTAATTGAAGGAATGCACAATGCACGCAAAGATTCTAGAATGTACATACAACTGGGAAATAAAAGGCTTACATGATTGGGATTAACAACTCTAAATGCAAGACAATAGGCTGAAGAGTGTTCTGGATCTTCAAAAATAATTTGCCTCTCTGTCCTTCCCTTTCTTTCTACCATTGAAGTGGCCCACTTGACAAGATATTTCCTTAGTCCTTCTCCTCCCCAACGATACTCGATATGTGACTGGTGATTTTGGTCTAATGCAAATGTAATCTTGGAGTTGTTTGGGGTTTCACCGGAATATGAAGGATAGTAAATGTTACTCCCACTATTGCAGATGAAAGCATCGAAATCAGTGGGAAGCATGCCTCCAGATAGTAGCAATGAATGTATCTCTGATATTGTCAGCGAAGTTGACAGCACAAAACCAGTTGAACCCGACATGTTTTGTGTATGTATGACCTCAATAGCATTTCTGATTATCCTGACTAGATCTTCCTTGTTAACAGAGTCTACAGAAATAACAATGATATGCCTCCTTCCTGAAATAGGTGTATTACTCCGCTCCTCTCTGTTACCAATAGCAGGAGACCTTGGGCCAAGAGTTAATATCCTTGACAGGTAATTCTTGCAATGTTCAGGCCACGAGAATTGGTGAATATTTGTCAGTCCATTCTCTCTGCACCTTGACCAAAGTTGTTTGTCAGAAAGAAGTTTATATAGCGCATCCGCAATGGCATTCTGATCGTGCGGATCAACAAGGAGGCCATTGTTCAGGACCTGAATTAGCATCAACCAGAAAACCGATAGTGATGTTTTGCAATTAGTTAACATATTTTTCGAAAGCAAAGTACATGTACCAATGGAATAACAGAAGCAAAACACACCTGATTAATTTCAACAGGGGCTCCATTTTTTGTCGCAATTATAGGCAAACCATTCATAGCAGCCTGCACATGGATATAACAATTGGTTATAATTAGGGTACAGATAAAGAGTTATAGCAGCAACGGTAAATTGGAACCTCAAAAATTCTGACCTCAATCAGAGTAACTCCAAATTGTTCGAAGTAAGCTACATTTACAAAAGCCCCCTGCAGATTTGCAGAAAGATCGACATATGACCAGCATGTATAGTGAAGGAACACAAGTACTAAGGTGGTAAGAGTTCAGCAAACCAAACTAGTATTAAATAATTTATGGCTTCTAGTTCACGAAATGAAGTGATCTTCCCTTTTATTTGAATGTTTTATGTAGGTATCAATTCTCAAATGTACAACTTTATATGCTAGAACCAGATAAATAAGTAGTAAAAGATAAGCACCTCAAATGATTGGATTCAGACCAAGGGGGAAAGAGAATACCTTTGTTCTTGCAGCTAAACGATAAATGTCAGGAACTTCCGAGTGCTTATGATGCTTGGGGTATGCCACTTGACCATACAGGTCATATTCATCAATCAATGTAAGCACTGATGTCAAGACAGCAGCACTCATATTGTGCATCTTAGATATAGCTTCACGGTTACCCATTATCAATGTCTACAGCACAAATTCAAAAGTAAGCACAAAAGTCAAGATCATTCAATTCTCAGTGTCGTGGTTATGGTGTTGTAACAAAAGGGGAAAAAATAAAGAACATCAGGACAACTAGTATCAATCTTACAAGGTTTGCAAGCTCCCTTAGTGGCCGACATTCACCAAATGCTTTTACAAGCGTAGTAATATTCTTCTCAGGATAGGGGCGAGCAACAGCTAGAATCATAGGCTTCCTAGGATTTGTAAAGAAGCGCATTATCTGCCCATCAGTTGTGCACATGTATAGTCAGTGTTTGAAATTTGAATTCAGGTTTGACAGAATAAAATAAACCATCCACATTAACTACTGATTAAATGCTTCACTAATGATTTAGCAAACCCTTGTGTATACTATGATAAAGAATATGCACTATGCAGTGACCTGAGACCAAATAGGTGGATCCTCAGATGCTGGGGATGGATTCTCTTCTTCACCATCCATATCAAAATCGTGAATAATGTGACCAAATTCAACTCCAGGAGGAATTATCTGCAAAAGCCATGAATAGAGAATAAGATCAAATCGAAGTCACAATAGACATTGGGCAATTACATCTTGCGCTAATTGCCTAGACAGAACATACTTGCAATGATCAGAGTTACCACAAGGGTAGTAGAATGTGTATACTTACAACCATACGAGGCATAAAACGGCCATAACAATTAGCACCACGTTTAACTCTGGCTCGGAGCTTCCTTGCAAGTATAATCTCAAAACCATCATACAAGTTCCACTGCTCTTCTATTTCTTGCCTAGTGCTTGCAATGACAATCTCAGATGCGTCAAGAGATAGCTCCTCTGCCTCAATTCGGCACATTATTTTGTATGTCATATTTATCTGTTCCCTAGTTTGTCTCCCTTGTTTGAGAAGCCCTTCCAATTTATCTTTCCCAAGAAAATGTCCTGTGAACGCCATAGGAAGGTTAAGTGCACCAGAAAGTAACGCAGCAGCAATTCCTGCACTGGCATAATGCCCATGAATCACAGCAGGCCATACTGGATGCCCGCGGCCAGTTTCTTCACCTATGGCTTTTGACATCCTCACAATATGGCTGAGTGCACCATCAACAAATTCTTGAATGAAAGGCCATAGATGTTCTTTAGCTAGATACTTATCTTTTGGACCAAACGGTATCCGAATTATATATGCGCCACTACTTTCTCCTTTTTCTTGTTTAGAATTTTTACCACTTGTTGAAACCAATATTTCTGCAGGTTCGCCATAACTACGATCAAAATTTGGTGCTAAGATTTGTCTTGTTAGCAGATCAACCCGGTAAACTCCAGGAGATGAACTTAGTGCTTTAGCAAGTTCAACCACATATTTGACCTACAAAATGTCAAAATAAAATTATACACTCATCTGAACTTTTACTAGGTGGATGGGAAATATCAGATGACAAAGTATAAATGTAAATGTGTTATAGCTTTGTAGGGTACGTTCATTTATAATGGGGAAAGGGAGTGTGATCTATCAAATACTAAAATCAATGACACAAGGTCTAAATGTTTTTGAGAGAGTAAAATATTAGAAATTGTTGCACAGAAGGAAAAGTATCTAATTATAATTAGATGACAACCGCTGAGTATTTTATAGAACATACTTGAACGCCCATTAAGATATATCAGTCTGCAAAATTTGAGTTTTGAATAAGGGAAAAAAAAAGGAGTCAATGAAACTTTATTAATAAATAAATTATCGAGTCATATTTGAGTTGCTAAGTATTGGAAGTGAGCAATATACTGGATCACAATGTGCACTTATACAGGTCAATAGAAGTTGGTGTACTAATTAGCTGAGTGCAGCAAGATTACCTGGCCACCCGTATCTGAATCTCGTCCAAGCTCCATATTCTCACCACGGACCAGACCATGTAGACTGCAATATAAAGCGAAGACAGATTAACAAAGGCTATATGCCAGTGATGAGTTTCAAATTACACATTTAACATTGCAATAACAGCAGATGCACATATGCCTGAGCAATTCATTTGCCTTTCCACCAACACATGACAGTAGGTTAACACCATAGGATTTAAGCAATTGTTAGGGCAAAAAAACATCTGTGCCTCTTCAAATGCCGACAAGAAAAATAAAAGAATCATTTCTGCCATGCTCCCTACTTAAAAATGATTTGGAAGGAATATCCTCTATACCTGATCAATACTATGTATAGCTTGTCAATTGAACTTGTCTTAGGTGAGCTCCCTGTGGTGCTGTCCCCATATGCAACAGATGGATCACCAGCATCTTCTCCCTTTTCTCCTTCAAAGAGATCTTCAGACATATCTGCAGTAGCATCAGCTCGTGTTTTCTCAGTTTCTGGCTGGCGTTTTGACAAACGACAAGCTTCTTCTTTCTCGAACTGCATATACAAATATGTATTTGAAAAATAGAGGACAATATTAGAAAGATAAGAAATAGATACAACTCCAATACTGGCCATAAGCAGAAGCAGAAGAATCAGGACCTTTGTGCTCTTTGATATAGAGGAAACCTAGTACATGCTACAACTAATGCAGTGTTAGGTCTTACATAGTTATCAAAGAGGTAGAGTGTAAAACCTGAGCTCAACTTATAAAGCAGAGGTAGACTAAGAATACTGTGCAAAAGTGCTTAACTCTATGACGGAGGAACTATTAGTCAAAACAGAATGTGCGGCATCTTGAGGACAGAATAATAACCATGGAGGGCTTTGGAATAGATAAAAAGAGATGCTGAAATGGATATGCAGTGTCAGCATGCTCCCATTGGCTCAGCTAGTCAGCTAGTGGGTAGTGGACATTCATGAAATTCCTTTGTTCCCAGCATCTGTCACAATTGGTCCAGTTACTGGACAAGTGAAAGCCATTTACACGCTTCATTCATGAAATTCCCTTGTTCCCAGCATCTGTCACAGTTGGTCCAGCTACTGGACAAGTGAAACCCATTTACAAGCTAACAGTGAGTCAGTGACTAGAAACAAAGGGGGCAGCAGAAAGACTTAGAAAGACTGGCAAAATACAACGTCAAAGCTGTATCAGGGGCCAATGCCGTCTGAAAACAACTCCTCGCGCAAGTCAATATGGTGTTAAGCTGATGTATCTCATCTAATTGATCTGGTTGCGTCCAAACGTCACCTAGCAAGCGCAGTGCCTCGTTCTAAGCCTCTAACTAAGGGAAAGCAAAAGCAACGGGCGATCTAACTAGCACAGGTAATCAGCAACCTCTAGGCAGAATAGTCGCCACAAAGCTATCCAACGTCAAATGATACTCTGTATTAGCAGTCTAGCACTGTCCAAGCTGAGAAGCAACCGGAGAAAGAACCGAGCTTACCTCCTTCTTCTTCCTTGCAAGGTTCCAGATCCTCCACGTCATGTTCTCGAGCCGCGTGTTCCTCTCCTGCGGGCTCCGCATGGCGTTCGCCTGCAGACACGGCACGCCCAGATCGGTAACGGAATCACAACAGCAACAGCAACGGAAGATAAGAGGTGGAATTGGCGGTGGCCGCATCGGCAACGGACGTACGCGTAGCCATGTCTTGTAGAGGTCGGTCTCATCGTAGCCGGTGATGACCTCCTCGACGAAGTAGCGCGCAGGGGAGAAATGGCCGCGCTCGCGGAGGAGGAGGGAGGGCCGGTCGCCGCCGATGGCGGCCTTTCCGGCGTCTAGGATGGCGTCGAGGTAGCTGTTGATCCAGTTGTCGTTGCCCGCCATCGCCGCCGCCGGCAAGGAGGAGAATCCGGCGAGATCGGGGACGGAATGGGAGAGTTGAGGCGGGGCGGAGGGAGGAAGAAAAGGAGAGGAGGAGGTGAGAAGAAATAGCCAAGTTAAAAAAATATATAATAAATAAAAGGCGTTGGAATTCTTATATACTAGCCAAAAAAAAAGGAAGGAAAGGTGTCTCGTAATGGGGTGAGTAGACAACAAGGAAACAGTGTGGTGGCAATTGTGACATAAATATTTGTTTAATTCAAATGGGATGGTCAGTTCAAAAATGAGTTTAATTTTAATATTCTATTAGTATCACAGAAAATGTTTGTTTAGATTTATATATAAGAAGTTTCTGTTCCGACTGGGATTTTCTAGATTTGTGCTCTTTGCCAACATTTTCAGCTAAAGATGTTAGGGCGGGTACTATTTTTGGACGCATCCAATGATCGCATAATCATGTGGGACTTCGTTGATTTTTATAAAACGTAGGAGTAGTGTATTACTGAAAGACATGTGATGTATGAATCTTTTGGTACATTACATATATTTTGAATAATCGTCAGTTAAATTTTACAATGTTTGAAATTTAAAATTCTAATAGCATCCTCAAACGTAGTTAGTATAAGTATAGGCACAATGCTGTCACAATTCACAAAAACTAATTAGATTGACAAAAGCGAAATGGCGCATGGACACATGACAACGTACTGTATCTTAGAGAGCACACGGCCCAGTGGGCTCCTTGCTAATGTGCTTCCAAGGCCATCTTTTATAAAAAGACTTTTCTAGGGCCCACAATGGCAAACCCAAATGTTCTGTTCTAATTGTACTTTCAGATCCTTCTAAAAAAATTGTACTTTCAGATGCGAACAGTAACAACAAAAATACTCCGTAAGCGTTTTGTCTAGAGACTAGAGAAGTGGTACCAAATACAGTCACATCCAGTCTGCCACACACATGATCCAGTAAATTGGCTGATTCGTATCGTTGTTGGTTCGTTTATGTGAGAGAAAAATACTGCTGGCTAATTCGTGTGAACAACGTTTATGTGAGACGGCTGGCCAGCAGCCCAGCCAGCCGCTCCCGGCCGATCAGGCTGTGGATTGCCACCGAGTCAGTGCTTTTGGTACATTACATATATTTCCCTCTTCATCAATTTCGCTGGCACGATCACGGAAACAGTTGGCTTTCTAATAGATCTTAAAATTAAATTTTGAAAAAATAGATTTTAAAATTTCTTTACAGTAGTGAATCACCGCACAGCCTATTAATATAGGGATTAATTCATGTATTTAGACATCTGCCCATAGGGCCTATTCGTTTGTCTGAATTTTAGAAGAATCTGGATGGTTTGGAGGAATGCTGGAGGAATTTGTGAGAGAAAAACACTGTTCCGAATGAAAAAAATAAGCGAATCAAGCCGGGTTTAAAGGCACGCGAACGGGGCCTATAAATCCAATTCTCCTCCATCTATGTCATTTTCTACGCGTACAGTGTACAAGGGCCCAATGTCAGGCACGTACGCCCACGGACGCCTCTCCTCGCCGCACTCATGTCTCTGTGCCCCGGACCTAATTCGCCTTCCTGCGGACTTCCGCTCTTGGCGCTGCTCCGACTACCGTGGTCGTAGACGCCGCGCCCCTTCGCCGTGCAGTTGAAGGCCGCCGTGGGGTTGGCCAGCTCGTACGGCTCACCGCCGCCAGATTGTACGAAACGCCGCCCTCCCAGAGGCAGAGCACGCAACCGCCCCAGCGTAGCACCGAGAAGGGGCCCCGGTGCGTGAACAGCCACGATGCGCCGCCAGCGTCGTGCTCCTCCCGCTTCGCCGTCGTCTCCACGTACCGGGCGGAGTACTGTGCCGCGCCATCAGCGCCGAAGCGAAACGAGCCAAGGTAGACATGGCCGTCGAGTAGGTGCACGGTGGACCCGTGGTCGTCGGCGAACATCCCGGGACCGACGAGGCGGGTGCACGGTGGCGACCGCCGCGCGGTGCCAGCCGATGTCACCATCGCCACCACCTATCCATGGGCGTCCGGCCGGTGCCGTGGCTGTCTGCCAAGTCCAAAATCATCGCCGTGCCGCGGCCGTGGTCCGTCGCCGGCGAACCGCTAAGGCTGGGTGTCGGTCGTCGTGCAGAACGTGTTCGTTTCCATGTATATGCGCTGCAGAGACGTGGTCGCGGACTCATGGCGGAGGCAGTGTTCGGCGCGCTGCAGAGCCGGACAACCGTGTCGTTCTGAGATGCTGCCATGAAGCACAGCCTAATGATGTGACCATGGCGCATCTGTTTAAGCAAATGATTGCAGAATCAGTGCGTCTAGATTCTGCAACAATGGCAAGCGTCATCTCTAGCTTATGCAAAGTCTGCGGACCTGGTACAGACGAAGAACACCCACTGCCGTGGAGGAGATGGTGGCGCTGCTGCAGGTGGGCATGGCATGCGTGTCCACCGCGCCCGACACGCTCCTCCGTTGCGGCAGGCCGCAGCGGGCGAGCGCGGCCGCTCCGCGCTCGTGCGCAGGCCGCCGCTCCACCTCCGGCCCCCACGGGCAGGCGCTAGCAAGGGAGAGGTGAGCGTCATTCACGTGCGCCGTTCTTCTTCTAGACTGTCGACGCCGCGGAGTGCGACGCGCACGTGCGCGGCCAGCGCCGGGGTGGTGGAGGTAGTGTCCGTGGCGGATCGGCGCCATCGGCCACGGCGTCACGCTGGCCAACCCCACGGCGGTCGCCATCTACACGGCGAAGGCGCGCGGCGAGGCAGAAGGTCCGAGGCACAGCGACACGAGCGCGGCGGGTCGGTCTGACGGAGGAGATAGGAACTCGACGCCCATATGCAATCCGGTAGAATACGTGCTTGATAGTGGGCCCTTATACACCGCAGACGTAGAAAATAGCATAGATGGGGAAGAATTGAAATTATAATGGCAGATGTTCAAATAGGTGAATTGTAATGACGTTTCTCCAAATTCGAAGAATTGTAATGGCCTGAATCCAAAAATTCCATTAATATATGGGGCATAAATATTCACCGCTTGAACTTTTCAGCCTCTCTCTCAACAAAATAGCTTCAACCGGTTTATCAGCTGCAGAAACATCAGCCGAACAGCTTTTATAGCTTCATGTTTACCTACTTACTTCATTTGACGTTCTGACTTTTTTTATATACATAGTTTTTGTTATGCACTTAGATACACACTATTCTGGATACATAATAAAATTAATATATCTAAAAATACTAGAATAGCTGCCACTCCAAGTTCTTTGTTAAGCTCTGTTCCAGTGTACGATCCAAGCATCGTATCTAGGTAACGCCATGGTTTTTTTTCTCGATTGGGGGTTTAGCCCGTTTTTCATTAAGAGGAAAGGAGTTTTTTTTAATATTACAAAGACAATCATGTCTATTACATATGATCCGAATTTTGCGATCAGACCGCGCATGGTAGAGCTATCGTCCTACTAGGCAGCGCGAACGGCCCTAACGGCCCGCTGCTTCTTGCCTGGGAAAAGCACCTCCATTGCCTCCCACGTCAATGGCGTGAGCGGTAGAGTGAAGGCCGCCTGGAATTCCTGGAACGATGCTTCATCAGGTAGTTGTGTCTCTACCTCAACGCCCAGGCGCTTCATCGTGACCTTCCTTGCCTGCGCTTCCGGCTTTGGCTCCCAGAACCTACTCTTCGCCGCAAGACGAGCGCTCCGCTTGGGGATGAGCTCCTCATCATCGCGCTCCTTCGCCGCCCGAGTGATCCGGTAACGCCATGTTTGGTTGCTCAAATTAACACACGTGGCACTTTGTGACCATGTGTAAATAAAGTAGAAGGTCAAGACAGGAGTGCTGTTCTGAACTCTGAAAGTTCAGCACAATTTCTCTACTTTCAAAGTGTCATGACTCATGAACCATTTATCGTCAATGAAAAATGAAAAGTCAGACTTTGTTTACCAACTTGTGCTGAGTTTTCAGATCATTTGTGGCGGCTGATTTTTTTTTAATGTCACGGGGGATTCCCCACCTGAATTTGTATTACTCATTCACTGCCTTGAGGCAGGAGGTGCTTACAAGTTAAAATGTACATCTTTGATCAAATGATCAGTTTCAGAGAAAAACCGACGGAGGTTCGAATTACATAGCAGCTGAGAAAACACCTATCCAGGCATCCGCAATCGCTCTATCTCTCCTAGGTAGTCGCATTCTCCACAGGTTGTGGCGGCTGAATTATTGTTCAGTATTTTTTCTCTAGATGGCAGCTGAAACTGATGGCTGAACATCAAGACTGAAGCGTGCACGGCTCCACGAGTACGTTTTCAACTGTTTTCAGTTAATAATTATATGGAAAAAGAATGTTCTCCTTAACCTTGGCGCCAAGTAATGAGTTACTACTATATACACCACACACATGAGAACAAATTTGACTTGGATCTAGGGTCCTAGGTCAGATAGTATGTTCCTTGTAAGCCAGGTATCAATTCATGTAATCTGATAGCGACCGCCTTTGCCTTGTCAAAATAGTCAAGTAACGAGTAACTTTACCAGTAAGCAGAGTTTGACACGGACGGTGTAAACAGGGTCAAAATGGACAGGGAATATGGACCCTACAGTTAAAAGAAGAATGTTACTTGGAAGAACAGCAACCAAGTCGTCCGAGCCTAATAATTCTTTGAACGGTTGAACCTGGCTGAAGTTTGAACATACTAGACACCCATCTGAAGCTCTGAACTACTACTTCTAGAAACTATGTCTCAAGAGACAAGCTTTAGTTTAGCTGCCGTTTGATATGGCTCCAGGAGCAGCTCTGGCTTCGGCTCCTGTAGGAGTTGTATCAAACAGCAGAGTAGAAAATGGCTTCAGTAACGAAGTTTTAGAGGAGTCAAAGCTGTTTTATACCCGATTTATGGTTTCTTAGGAGTAATTAGAGCTAGAGTTATTTTCGGAGGAGCCACAGTCATGCCAAACAAATATCTAAGTTTCAGTCAATGACTTCTTTTTTTTCTTGAGAGAGAGAGAGAGA